TTTGGGAACGCGGTTTCAAGGCGGTTCAATGCATTCCGGAGAAGATCCACGATTTTCGGACGGATGTAATCATCCATGTTATTCCCATTCTCATCCGCGGTCCACGAAGCTGAGTTTACCAAAAATTTGGGCGACTTTCCTCCCAGAACGATAGTCACTCGACACGGCAATTGCAAGGGCGACTGGGAGGGTGAGGAATCAGTAAAGGGCCTTAGCCTCCTGAGGAACTTCTCGGCTTCAACGGAAACTTCCCTCATATTGCGAGGAGGCGTTGAAGCCATCCACATATGTAATTATGCTTGCTTCGAGGTCCCTCAAGCCTGGCCCTTGTTCTTCTCCCAAATTGACAACCTTCGAAGGCCCTCCGTCTCCAGCGACCGTCGGCGTCGTCGTCGACGGGACTTCTTGTTGTTCTCCCTGATCGTCAACCGAGGGCGCCCCGTCTCCTTTTCCGCTCGTCCGGATCTCCGAAGCACCGCGACGCCGAAGTTCCGTGGTGATCGACGAAGTCGTTCGGAGTGATTCGTCGCCCGGCCGTTTGCTTGGAGCTTCCTGCCGGGGACGTTTCACGGACGGGTCTTTCTCCTCGGCGGAGATTCCGTGCGCAGGTCTATTCCGGTTCTCTTTCTTCCATCGACGATTGGGCAGGACTCGGAGGCGTTCACAATGTTGAGCTTCTGAAGGAAACGCCAGAACATTCTTCGGGTTTCCTCATCTTTTTTTTAGCTCGTAATTGATGATAACCCCAGTGCGTGCAAAGTTCTGAACCATGGAAGAAAACCGTGCCTCTGCCAAGGCGGCCGTCATGCACTTGAGGGGATTTCTGGGATTAGCATCCTGTAATTCTACAAAACCCTTCAGGGCGCATTCTAAACCCTCCGTCCTCCAGGTTTCCTCCGGATTCGAGCAGACATAGTTTACGACAAGGTTAATCATGGCTACATCCATGGCGGGAAGCCACTCGGAACTGTAGTCCATGATGGAAAGATGAGTTTTGAGAGCGCTGGAAAAGATGAACGACCAGCATTAAATCCACGTGATTCGGCATACTCCGCCACCCTTCAGTAATTATTGCTTCGATTTTCATCAACATTAGTTCGGAAAAGACACGTTTCTGGGGAAAGTCTCTAAGATCCACTGCTGGAGATTCGAGCCCAGGCGACAATTACAGGAGTTCTATTCTTGGTCGCTTTGCAATGTAAGCTTTAGTGAAGTACACCGAGACCGAGTTCCATAAATCCTCGAAGTTTAAAGTCGAGGTCAAGGTCATTATCAACCTGCCATTGGAGTCATTCCCATGGGGACGCAACGTCGGAGTCCGCCCGATGTTCGCAAGGGGGACCTACCCGAGGCGCTCCATTCTCAGGGAGTCGCAGAGTAGTACTCGAGAAGTACTCCACGTGCGAGTCAACGTCCACTTCCGTCACCATGATAATGCAGAAACCGTCTCAATAACCGTAAGGAAGGTCCATCACACTCCGGAATCCGCCCTTGCATTGGTTCCGTGAATTCTCGATAGCAAAGCGAGTGAGGCGACGTGGCAAAATCCAAGATTATTCCTACTGATGTCGCTCCAACAGAGACGCGTGAAGATGCTCGCTTCGAACTCGAAATTCTCTCGATTTCTTTAGCAGAGCAGAACCTCCACTAATCGCCGCATCAATATCCAGCAATAATTGTAGAAGAAACTCACCTTTCCGTTCAGTCGAAGCAACGAATGCACGTGATACAAGAAACACGAACGCCACGCGATACGCGATCTGGAATCCAAGATGACTGCTGTCATTGAGGTCTAGGGTTTAGGGGTTAGGGGTCAGGGGTCAGGGTAGGGTTTGGGCTATCTGCAGAATGCCGATTACGGATCTTTACAGCCGTGTAAGAACCCGCTTTCCCGCCTTGCACACCTCCGAAGACGCCCCTTGATGCGGTTTTGGATCGAGAGAGTGTGGTAGCGGACACCGCCCGGGCCGCCATTCTGCTTGTCATAGATATATAACAACGAAGTTAAGATACCGTATTTATTCTAATAGAATGTCATGCTCCAATTAGCGGCATGCTCCAATAGAACGGCACCCGTATGAGATTTCGGAAAATAGAGCGGCATGCTCCGATAGTACGGCATGCTCCAATAGTACGGCGTGCTCCAATGGAACGGCAGGGCAAAATAACTTGAGGGAAGGTGATATAAATTGTTAGATTCCGTGAAGATATCAAGGGTATAAAAAACGAGTCATCGTAAGTGAAGGCAGAGATCGTTTGAATACTCATTTTTGGACAAAACACGGGTAGGCTCCATCAGCTCTAATAGGGACCGCCCATCCGGTGGGGGATCGAAAAATAGAGCGGCATGCTCCAATAGACCGACGCCTGATGAGGGGATCGAGAAATAGAACGGCATGCCACTCCATTAGAATAAATACGGTATACACTCACTCGCTACACGACGACCGAACTCGCCGTCTAGTTTGTATCATACTCCTGCCGACCCGCTTTAGCGGTGACCCGGACGTGATGTCCACCCCCGCCGGAGAGTCTACCCCCGCCCGGGTGACGGCCGTTTCGATCGAGCTACCACCTTTCACAAAACAGGCCGGCATGTGGTTTAGGACCATAGGGTCTCAATTCAACTTGCGAGGCATCACCGATGATCAAACCAAGTTCGACTACACGCTGACGAACCTCGACGCCGATACTCAAGAAAGAGTAGCAGACTTCTTCGACGAACTCTTTGCTCCCTGCCAAGGGACTCCGGTATGACGCTTTCAAACGACGAGTCCTCGAGTCATTCCGGCTCGATGTGAATCAACGTATGGCTTCCCTGGTCAACCTGACTATCGGGGACGATACACCTTCGAGACTCCTCGATAGAATGCTAGCTCTCTACAGGCCGGATACGAAGGCTTCAACGAATCTTCTCTTCCGCTACCATTTTCTCCAGAAGCTGCCCCTGCATATTCGTGATCAGCTAGAACCAAATGATCACTACGAGCTTCGGGAGCTGGCCAAGTGCGCCGATAAGGTATTGGCCTAACGTCAGGGAGCGATCCCGACAGTCAGCGCCGTCGAAGAGAGTGAAGAAGAGATTGACGCTGTTTTGCGTCCCGCTCCGAGAGGAAAGAGGCAGAGCAAGAACGGGAATCCTCAACGCGAACCTAGAACCTCTGCTATCTGTAGATACCACGCGAAGTTCGGGGAGCTATCGCGTAAATGTACCACGCCGTGTGCTTGGCGGGGTCAGACGGCTCAGGACCAAGGAAACGCATCCACCGGCCGTCACTGATCGCCCTCGCGGCCGGTAGCCAGACGAGAGGCGATCTATTTTTCGTCCCCTGCGCCCTGTCGGACCTCAAGTTTTTGGTCGATACCGGTGCGCAAGTCAGTATCGTGCTGCCATCCGCGGCGGAGCGGAAGTCCCCGAGCATGCATCACTTGACCGCCGCAAATCATAGTAAAATATTCAGTTTTCGGGTATACACAACACACAGAAGATAGAAAAGCCAGCTCCAGAGCATCAGACTATGCCCAGTGAACTTTATTGAAGCGGAACGCGTGATATACATAGAGATATTCTTGCTTGTCAGAAACCTCCAAACCATGCTATCGAACCAGCTGCTGAATAGACACAATCGGCTACTCCCCTAGTCCAGCGACCTAGATGTAAAACTCAGGGAATCCCGGATTCGAACTGCGCATATTCACTCTTCAACCTCAACCCACAGTCTCCTTGACATAG